CAAACGGGGCGCGCGCGCGCCCCGTTTGGGAAAACTCCCCCCTGTTTGAATTTCATCCTGGGGAGAACCCTGCCTGGGTACGGTCCGGTATACCGGAACGTACCCTGGTACTATCTAATATGCCGGACCGTACCTCGCCTACTCCACTAACGAGTCTAGGGAGCCGCCTACGTCTACTCCCTAATCCTAACCCTAATCCTAACCATAAAAAAAACATATCAAATAGTGACCAGGGTATGTTCCGGTATACCGGACCGTACCCATGGTATATTCCGGCAGTACCCTAGGGGACATAGACCCTATGAGCGTTAGTATCAAGTGCCACATTTGACTCTAGTCTCTAGTGTCTAGTAGTTGAACTACTAGTACCCACTTAAATGGACCCGACTGATTTGCGTAACGTGATCCGGATCTGTCAAAACAAATGCCCACTAGCTTCTGCTGGGTCAATTGGCTCCGTGACATCTTAAAGGATGGGTAGCAATAGCAGTTTGATGACATCCCAGGGGCGAATTTGAGCAAAACAGCACCAGTTGAACATTGGAGCATTTTTACATTATTTATTACAACTAATGCATTTTTATAAGTAGAGTATGACTATTGTTTATCTACAAAACGCCATAGCGCCAAATTTACCAGATTTTTGTTTTTGATGGGGTGTCTTTGAATGGCTCGTCCCGTTGAATTCCAGCAAGAGGGAAGTCGATCTTGGGCTCAAATGAAAGCGGAATGATAATGTCCACTCCTTCCATTTGAAACTACTCATCTAGTTAATTAAATCGAACATTATTTGAGTTAAAAAACTAAATTCGGGCTGTTATTCTACAGAGACAAAGTAGTTTCATTCTAATTTAGAAAACAAAGGGTATTTACGGTGTTTTTGTGTACTTTGTGTTGTAAAGTGGGTAGTAGTTCAACAGGACGGTGAGAAATTAGATGCGCGGCCGTTCTGGCATGAGCACTGCCAAAGTCTTGCATACCGGCCCGCTCATTGTAAAGTTACGTGGGCCATTGCTGCGAGCCACGCTCAGCTGGTCTGTGAGACACTGTATGTAGTGGAAAGCGGTTATTGATTCCGATGCTTTGGACGGCACTAGACGTTAGTTAGTTACCAATATAATATTTCATTGTGCAAAATTGATTAGAATTTTGTGAAACAGTGCTCGAAATAAGCGTTGTCCGGTTGTCCGAGACAACCAGAATTTGCGCCGGAAAACCTAACCAGTCTGAGACATTGTCCGGTGGATAAAAAAGAAAAATGGGACAAAAAACGCACTTTATTTATGTTTTTCTGACCGCGAATTGAATTTCTTTCGGCTGTCGATCGGCCTGCATTGCGTCCATAGCTAGTGTTGTTTCGCGGCTTCTCATTGGTCAGCAATGCCGTGTAATATGGGTGCTTTGGCCAATAAGTATGCGTATCACAACTCACGTTCGTATCGACAACAAATTTGACTGTGTGGTCAAGTTTCATCGGCGCGTAAACAGGTAACTACTTATCGATCACTACAAACGCTTTTTCTGAAGAAACAAATGACTTGTTGCTGGTAGATTTGTTGTGGCAGTGATGTAATCGAATCTGCCTGAGAGGTAAACATTGACTAACTGGACCGAGTGTGTATAGCTAGCCATGTCAAACCATTTTAAACTTAGGCCAAAACAAAATATAGGTGTGGTTACCGTTTCATGCCGGAAAAAAATAGGGTAGCTAGGTAGGGAAAACATTTTATTTTATTGAAACATTTTATTTACGAACCATGTCCAAAGGATGTTCGTTGTGCCTTTTGAAACAGGAACTGTCCAATTCATATTTTTTTTTATTTTTTTTAAATTTTTTATTATATTTTCATGTTTATTCAGCATTGCTTTTTTATTGAAAATGCTCCAAGCGTCTGTGGTCCGCCTTGTCTCTCGTCACTTTACCTTGTGTTGTGATCACGCTAGGCAGCCTAAAAAAGCTGTTTGGCTCTCTCTGATACCGATTGCTGCAGTTGACAACACCGCAGGAGAGCGGCGTTGTGATGCATTTGCTTAATAGGCAAATATAAAATGAGCAGAGGTGCGCTGCTCAATGTACTTGTACTATGCCTGAACTGGTTTCTGTATCCGTCAGGGCCGACAGCGATGCATTGTGGGTAATATGAAAAATCGCGGAACCCTCTATATCTTGCAATTGGATTCTCCAAATTTAGTCAAAATTCCGTCAGGAAAATGCCCGTAATACGGGGGTGGAATTTTTTAATTCTGTAAAGTGTGTTATGTTTCTTGTGACTGTGGCTGGCTAATAAGCTTAAAAAAACCGATTAAAAATCATTCAGAAAAAAATCATGTACTATCCCTAGGATGGGTCATCATAACTAGTAACAAGCAGTGATTGGCTGAGTTGCATGCTGGTAGGGATGTAACAGTTAATCAACGTATAGGTGAATCACAATACATCGGTCGACGATATGATAATCATTTTAAAAACAGCGTTTGTATGGTGATACAAATGATACGCCTGTTAAACATTAAACAAGGTAATCACTATGCTAAAATTATTTAATAAAGTACATACATGTACAGGTTCTGCCCAGGATTTTTTAGTGCTGGGCGCATCCAGTTTGATGCAAGCGCCGTAGGCGCGAAGCTAATCTAGAGGGGTCCGGGGGCATGCCCACGGAATTAGGGCAATTATTGCCGGGCGGAGATAACCGACTCGTTTATAGTGCCGGGCGGGAACCGCGAGTGCCGGGCACACCCGCCCACTGCCGCCCAGCGCCGCCCAGCGCCGCCCAGCGCATAAGAGCGCCATAAAGCCCAAGCTGTATAATTTCATTTAAGTGGAACTTCATTTATTTTATGAACTCCTACTTGTAGTGTCATGTAAATATCGGAATAACTTTCCCCCGGGCGTAGATGGAGGGTCACGTGATGTGGCTGCACTTGTGTTAGGATTAGGGTTAGGGTCAGGGTTAGGGCATAGGTTAGGGTTAGGGTTAGGGCTAGTGCTGCCACGTAGCGGCACCCTCCATCTACGCCCGGGGGAAAGTGACACCCATGTAAATATCCTCCCTATAGTATTGTAAAAGTGTGAGTCAACATGTGGTGTGCTTGTATGTGTTGTCAAGAGTGCTAATTTGCTAGTGCGTGGTGTTACTGCTAAGGCTATTGTAACAGCCTGGCTTGGCGACACAATCTGTTAAAATTTTGCGAAACAAAGTGTTAATTTTCATGGAAAAACATGTCTGCAAATGTAATTTTCACGTCAAGAGTTAAAATTTTGACATTGTTAAGCCATTGAACTTTGTTGTTTTTAGCTCATCTGACGTAGTCAGATGCAGCTTGTAGAATCGCATGATTGTCCGTGCGTGCGTGCGTGCGTGCGTCAACAGTTGGGCACAAATCTTAACCGCACGACGTACGGTCACGATATTCGGGACGTGGGGGGGGGTAATCCGGAAACGAGTTGGGATGTCGAAGCTGGGGGTCAAAGGTCAGAGGTGTAAAAGAAGGGCGAACATTCCCTCCTTAACTTAAGGTAATAGGGAGGAAATGCAGAATTGCGGCACAAATCTAAACGGCTCGACCTGAGCTCGTGATAGTCGGTGTATAGAATCATGGTAGGAAAAGCCATCACTGTGCCGAAGATTGGAGGTCAAAGGTCAATAGGCCACAGGGCAGATTTTAGACATTTTCTGAGGACATGGTCTGACGGAGCTTATTGAAAACTTTTTTGTTTCAGCGGTGACCTACCATTTTTATGGCTTTATTGAAAGGACCATGAAATGTGGCTTTCCACTGCCGTGCGAAGAGTAAGTGTCTGATACGCTTTTGACTCTCCCTCAAGAGGAGGGTTAAACATGGATTTGTTTACTGTTAGAAAGAATTTGACTGCTAGTAGAATCTATACATGCCTGGATGTATGAGGCTACAATGTCACAGTGAAATCTCAAAAGCTAAATTTGGTTGAAGAAGGTTTATGCTCCTTAAATCGTATAATTTCTATGGCATTCTGTACTGTCAGTGTGTTACATGTAACTGTATGCCACTGCCAGTGCATGTGTTGGTGATAGTACTGTGTAGTTTTTGCCTGCGTTAATTAGTTACAGGTGGCAGCTCTCTATTTCAACCTGTAGGCTTGCGTAGGTAAATGGATGAGTGCTTACCTATTTTGTCCTGCAAATAGTTGTTGCTACTACGTACGATGGGAGCTTCCATCTTTAATCTTAAGACACTTAAACGTACGCACCATCTCGTGGCAACTTTCATAACGATCCCAACGAACATTCCTTTGAGAAGGTTCCTGATACCATCCCTGTGCCTTCCACTGTTTCGGCGCATATGTGATCACATTTGGGACTAACAGGGTTTACTAGAATCCCACCACTCCACCACAGAGTCACCGCAGTAGACGTTAGTTGAGCGCTGTCGCTCCGTGGCACTTGTTTAATGATTATACTAGCATAATTCAACACTAAATTTCCACGATGCAGTACATTTTATTTTACATGCGATATGACAAATTTATCATAGCATATGATTTACAGTATCTCTCTTCTGTCTGTGTATCGGAATACATATCATAGTGTCTAGTGTATCATTTAAAAACATCTACATGCCGCCATAGTATTAATTAGGTCCAATTTAAACCCAGGCATGAGCTTGTCAGCAGGTTGAGATTAGGTAGATCAAGTTTAGTGATTCGGATAAAACAGTCATGAAACGGTCGTGATCCAGGCCATATGGCCCACCCAAACAATCGTGCGATGTAGTACCGCATGGTCCGCATGCTTAGTCATTAGAATGTAGATTGTTTCTTTTTTGTTTCAAATGATATATGGCATATCAAATGATTATATGCGCAGGAAACTGTCAGACATGAAGGTTGCCGACTTTATGCAGAAAGGTCTAGACACGGGGAGTGATGACACCAGTGTTGACGAAAATGATGAGGAGGATTTCCAATCTACATCAAAAGGACTAATCGGGTTACTGGATGGAAGTAAAAGGTAAGTGGTGTTCTGTAGCTAAAGCTGAAAATAGGAGTTCTATAAGTGACTGTAATTCATTAAAAATATTTTTCTTAGAAGCAGTTATGCAAAAGGTCACTTTAACTTAATGATATTTTTGCTGGAATATCCCAGTATGTTTCGTATATGAATATATATATATAAATGTGTTAAAAGTGAATCGAAATGCTCGCTACCCTGGGGTCGTCTGGCTAGGGATAGCCTCACGTTGATTCCATGTTGGCAGGGTTATTGTGATAGTCTTCTATCCATCCCGGTATTTCGACCCGTAGGTTGAGTCCGTATGGTTGGATGGTGTTTAGATTGTGGATCCAATAGGCTTCTCTTTTCTTTCTAATGCGGATTGTGTGTGGATGTTCAGAGGGTCCGAGAATATTTTTTCAATGCTCCTGCCTGCACTGAAAATCCGCTGCGGTGTGGTTGTCGCGTGTAAAATGAGCACTGACGGGTCTGCTCATATCTCGTTTGGTAATGTCACGCAGCTGTTCAACTATGCGATCTTTGAGTTTACGCTGTGTCTCGCCTATGTATCTGGCCGCAGGGCATTTGCGACAGGAGATTTCGTAGATGAGGTTCGTGGAGATGCATGTGAAGGAGTGCGTGATGTATTTCCGGAGGGGGGGTCCCCATTGTTTTCTTGTGTGGCTTTAGGTTTTTTGTCGCGTATGGATTGCTGCCGTTGTGCTGCGCGTTCGTTGAGTGTATCCACCCAGGCTTCTATTTCTCCGGCCTTCGTTGAGGAGCCAGTGATTTTTACCAGTTCCCCGCGGGTAGATGTTATCTCTGCGCTTAGTTTCTCTGTGGTGTCCTTGGCATAGTTTATAGTTAGTAGGGCCATACGTTCTTGGAATTGTGTGAGAGAGGCGTGCCAGGCTGACATGAACTCTTCATCATGTTTGCCGACGACTGGCAGCATTTTTAAATCCATGGAGGGCGGGATGTGATGCTGTCTCAGGCTCTCTTCCAAACGAGATATGTGAGTCTCGTACCTTTGAAGCTTATCTTTATGGTTCCGCAGTTTGCGGAACATAGGCTCAGCTTCTTTGGGTACTCTTAACCCTGGTGCGTTTTTGTTGATATTGATCTGGATTGGAGATGTTGCAGCGTCTATCATTATAGGGGTGTCAGTTGGGTGGACCCCTGTAACTTTGCGCGGCTGCATGACTGGCGAGTCTTCTGTAGTTCTTTTTCTCTTCTTGTCGTTTTGCTGCGAAGAGGCAGGAATATTACTCGCGATCTCCCCTTGGTTTTGGGGGGAGGGTAAGTCTAAATCCATGAGTGTGGTGATAAGGGTGCTGCTGTACCCGGATCCATGTACCCCGGATCCATGGGATGCTGGGCCGTCCTGGTCTGGTGAATTTAAGGACATATGTGAGGAAGAGGCCTGGACAGCCTCTACGGGGTACAGCTCAACTGATTTAGCTTGATGGTTTGTTGTTGCCATTATAAATGTATATATAAAAAAGTTTCGGTTAAGAAATTGCTACACGAAGTTAGCAATGAACGACTAGTTTCGACTTGTGGTAGTCTTCGTCAGGTTCTTCTAACTTTTTACAGCTGAAAAAAACTGTGTTCTTCAGCGTGTCTTCTCCTCCTTATATACCCTAGGTCCCTGTCTAAGAGGGGGCGCCAATAGGGGGCGCCGTGTTCAGGGGGCGCTAAAAGGGGGCGCGGTGTACAGAAAGGTGGCGCCACGTGGTTGGGGGGGGGCGCTGAAAGGGGGCGCAGGGGGCGCCAAAAGGGGGCGCCCAGTGCGTAGGGGGCGCCAAAAGGGGGCGCCCAGTGCGTAGGGGGCGCCAAAAGGGGGCGCCGTTCACTACAGGGGGCGCATCGAAGGGGGGCGCCTCTGATTTCGTGATCTGTACTCGCTCCTGATTGGCTGAATCGTCTGCCGTTTGCGTCATGGCATTCATGACGTGTGTTTAGGTTCACACAGGGTCGATGAGGTCTGCCGACGTGCTGTACACGTGTATTGGGGCGTTTGTGACGTCATAGACTCTTTCGTCATGTCGTTTGTAGAGAGGATGGGGTTGTTATATATGATATATATGTATTCATATATATATATATATATTATATACATATATATATATATATGAATTCATATATTTCCCCCTATATGAATTCATGTTTTCATGTCATTTATCGCTGATGTCCAGTGCATTATAGATTGAGTCAGAGTGCGTGTATCAAACTATCCTTGACTGTTAAATTGATCGTCTTTCAAATAAATCGAGAAATTCATAAATGTAGACAAATTTAATCTTGCCTGTCACTGCCGGCGTAAATATTATTGATTTCTTCGGCATAAAAATTGCTAGTGTGTTTGGGGTGTTATAGGCTGTAAAATATTAAATGAACAGCAAACTTGTGGTTGTATTCTTGTGATTTGCAAAAAATGATATATGCAAACATTGCCACAAAAACCATACATATTTACGTTACGTCAGTTTTTCTAGACTGGTACCTATCTTAACATGTAAGCATATGTAACATGGTGTAGAGACAGGGTACCGGTCATTAGTACCTGGTAAGAGGAAGTATTATGCGCTAGTGATGTTGACATATGTAAAGAAATCTTATTTGAAATGTAGATCGGTGCACATTTTGATAAAAGAATGCCGTGCAAGTGTTCTTTGACATGTTATCCATATTACATACACTTAGTGTTATGCAAGGAGTACCGGTGTATGAGAACGGTCAAGAAAATACGAAAATGGTTAGAAAAAACGAGAGATAATTGTTTTAAAATGGAGAAAATACTTGTAACTTGCTTGACCGTTTCATTGGCTTTATTTTAGCAGCGCAAATGAAGCTGGAATGAAAACCTCAATGACAAGATTGCAGGAGAAAGATCCTGAGTTCTATAAGTTTCTGCAGGACAACGATCCTGACTTACTTAATTTCGATGTGTCGGACGAAAGTTCAGGGGATGAAGATGAGGCAAGAAAGGATCTGCATGTGCCACCAACAAAGTTACAGGTATGAGTCTATGAGTAATTGTGTTTTAAATTTGGGGTCATGCTCCCTTTTTAATAGTTTATAGACAGGTGATTTGGCAGCTTATTGGTACATATACTTTTAAAAATAATTAATGGGCATGATGTATTATGTTCGTCAAGGAAATTTAATCCAGTTTGGTTATTATCGCACACAGTATTTTATGTTTATCCTCATGCTGTACTATTATATGCAGCCTATTTGTTCCAAATTGGTAATAATATAGGTGTACTGATGAATCTCAGAGAAGTTGTAGGTTATAGAGCTCAGCAAATACTTGACCATCTCGTCTTGCATGCACAGGTAGGGAGTGATGAGAGTGAGGAAGAAAACAGTAGCAGTGACGAGGAGTCTCCAACGCATTCATCAGTTAAAATGGACAGGAGCAATGTGGTCACAATGAAGATGATTTCTAATTGGTCAAGCATTCTGCAGGTTAGCACTCGGTCAGTCGTACTATCACAGATTCAGTCAAGTGTAGATAGTGTATACGTATTAAAACAGTCATATATCTTGTCCAACTTGTCTCCTGGGAATTATGACAATGGAACAACGACACACAAGTAGAGAGTGGTATCTAACGTTGTAACGTAACAACGTTAGTTAATAAGATATCAATTCTCAATGATATTTGTGATGTAACATCTACTTGCTGTTAAATACAAAAGCAATATCAATTTAATTAAATTGTCATTAAATGTGATGATGATAGGAAAAATAGTAATGCAATCAGTTACTTATTTATAAAAAATCTCTGCTTCATCTGTCCAGTACATCTCTTCTTACCTGCAGTTACTGGTTTATATCAGAAAGGCGATGTATTTCTAATGATATATTTCAGGATACTCCATCGCCAAAGTCGATTCTGGCAGTGGCAGATGCGTTTAGGGCTGCGGTGCAACAGGCAGGGGGTGACACTACCCAAGACGACACTATGAGAGTAGAGGGAAGCAATGGTATGACCTCTTATAATAACTCTCCGTACTAAATACACGCGTGCCTAATTAAAACCCCTAGATGTGGAATGAAATTAATTAAATATTATTTGCCCATATGCAGTAACATAAGTACTGAAGTAATGATCAAGCAAATATAATTGATTTTCAGTGTTTAACGCAATCGTGCGGATGTGCATGGTTGACCTTGTACCAGCAATCTACAAAGTCCTGAATCTTCCTCAACCCCTTGAAAGGCAACAGAAAAAACTTATGCTACCTTCATCCAGTAAGAAATGGCCGAAACTGAAGATTGGCATGAAACATTATCTGACAGATCTCATGCAGGTATTTTTGGGTTACTGTATAATAATTCTGAGACTGATTAATCGCGTGAGTTGGATAGGATAACAATTATGTCCATCACAGGCTTCACACATACATGATCCAGGGCACGAAATTCAGATTTTTTTGCACCGGCCCAGAGGTCTGGTAACAGCAATTTTTTACCAGCCCTCACCATAGTTTACCAACCCTCATAAATTTTGTTTGTAAAATCAATGTCATGCTTCACGCTTGCATTCTCGATTTCAAATTTGTAAAATGTTGATAAATTATGGCAAGATATCCTCCAGGTAAAACAGTAATGTAGGCTATTTGCTCATTAATGCTATAAATAAAAATGTAGGTATTCGCTAACAGTAACGCGGCTGAAACCACCGGCTCGGAGGACCGGTGTTTTGCGAATGTTACCGCCCCACCAAATAATTTGCCAGCATATGCTGGTGGGCTGGTGCTAGTTTCGCGCCCTGTGATCTGACTTCATGAAGATTATGATAGGATGATGTAGCATCACACGTGGTCACACAGGTTCAAGCAGAGTCACATAGAATAATACGTGGTCACACAGACCCACATATGATCACACAGATTCACACGCTCATGCAGTGTCACACAGTGTCATTCATGTAGTTTCACACATGGTCACATAGGTTCACACAAGGTTACGGATGGTCATACACGTTTGCAGAGGATCACACAGGTTCACACAGTCCCACATGTTCACATGAGTATGCAGGGTCAGGCAAGGTCAGATGGGTTCAGACAGAGTCCCATGTTGTTAAGACAGGTTTAGACAGGGTTACACATTGACACACGTATCCAGACAGGTTTTGTAAAGGATCACATATGTTCATATAGGAGATACACGGTCACAGAGCTTCACACGTGGTGAAGACAGAGGTTTACACAAGGTCACGTAGGGTCACACATGGTCACAACATGTCAGGGTGCACGTGGTTCGTTGCTGATCGAGGATGTTCTTTGCAGTTGTTCTCACAGATGTCTGAGCCGGCCGTGTTGCATGTTGTGCTGAAGCACGTTCTCATAGTGCTGCCCTTCTACATCTGCTTCCCGAAGACGTGCAAGCTGCTGCTAAAGGTACTGACACCCTCGCGTGCAAGCCACGGTCGATTTACTCTATGGGTCTTTCTTACTGGATGTACAGCATGTGTTCAGAGTACATAGGAGATGCCAATACCCTGGTTTCGTGGCTCGTGTAATGCTAAATGCAACAATCATAGCTGAAAATATGTCGATTTCACTTACGTATTGTTACCAAAGTATAGTTATATGTATATATATATATATATATAGCTGAATGACAAACCTAGGTTGAGAAGACATCTGTCAGTGCATTCAAAGTATAGGTCATTAGAAAATAGGTCATATACCACTTATGTAAACTGTACTTTTTTGTAACTCACAATCTGATGTTGAAAAGACGTAAAACTCTTACTGGGTGAACGCAGTAGTATATATCCAGGCTCGTCTGCTAAAACTATTAGCTTTAACTGGAAAGCTGCGATATAGCAGGTGACAATTTTTTGCCTTTACAGAAGTTGATACGATTGTGGAGCACAGCGGAAGAGTCAGTGAGGGTGCTTTCTTTCCTTTGTCTGGCTCGTCTCACTAATTTGGCACAGGAAGACTACCATGAATTAGTCATCAAGGTATGGGGTTCTTTGCTGAATGATTCTAGTTAAGCATGGTTAAAACTGTGGTGATTCCACCCTTAAATGACAGATTTTTTATGGTAACCTGGCACAAGACTTTACAGGTGTGTTATTGGTTAAAGCAGCGAGTGAAGGGTTGTGCAAAGGTTGTTAAAAATGAAGAAATGAAGGTAGGATTTTTAAATGCAGTCATATTTTATGTGCATAATTATAATGAATCTATCATCTTTAACAAAAAGCAATTCGTATAAGCAGCGGCCTAAAATTTCATCCAAAACCATCTTGTTGTTACAATGGCAGTTTCTGTTGCAGGTGTATTTTTAAATGTCATTACCTTCGTCAACATTCTCGAAACCTGGCAAAATTCTCATGTTTCACTTACACATTTTGTTTACGCACATTCACAGCAAACGTATATGGCATATGTCAAGAACTGCAAGTTCACCTCACCTACTACCCTGCCAGTGATTAACTTCATGCAGCGTTCTATGGCCGAGTTGTTCCGATTGGACGATCAGGCGGCCTATCAGCATGCATTTGTTTTCATTCGTCAGCTAGCCATTCATTTGCGAAATGCAATCACGACCCGGAAGAAAGTAAGTGGGCGGTCATTGTTTTGGTCATTGCTCTGGTCATTGTTCTTGTCATTTATAAGCCCTACTATGCATCCCTGAGCTGCATCTTGTAGTGGAACGAGTTACTGCATAATTATCTATTCATTTGCAATCATTATAATTACTCACTGATAGGAGAATCAATCAATGTAACATTTGTTTATCTACATGTTTGCCTTTTCACTCACAGGAGAGTTATCAGTCAGTGTTCAATTGTTTATCTACATGTTTCCCTTCTCACTCACAGTAGAGTTATCAGTCAGTGTTCAATTGTTTATCTACATGTTTCCCTTTTCACTCACAGGAGAGTTATAAGTCGGTGTACAATTGGCAGTATGTTCACTGTCTTGCCTTCTGGTGCAGACTCCTGGCAGATATGCACCCTAATAACACGGTAGCACCACTTGTCTATCCCATCGTGCAGACAACTATTGGCTGTCTCAAGTAAGTTGATTTGTCATAGCTTTAATGTACATCACACATGATTGTATTCTAGCTATTGATTCAAAAAGTGCCTGATCATCAATTCAGTGTCCCAGTAGGTAAAATCTAGAAAGTGAAATCGTGAAGGCTTGGCTACCTTCATTGGTAGCAGATTTCTTGGTTGATTCTCTGAACAATACCATGATTACATGATCAGGGTTTCTTCTACATAAGAGGCACATTGGCGCACCGCCGTTGTCAAATTTAACATCGCCGTTGTGAAAATGTTCCTGTATTTACCCGCCGTTGTCAAAATAGTGTCAACCAAAATATAAATACAGTGTTTCCCCTGCATTGACACGCGCCTCGCTCAAATTCTCAGCTGCGACACAGCAATTTGTCAAAAACACCGCTTCGCTGACGAAAATCACTGTTCTTCCATCAATAAACTACACTTTATTGTACTAAAATCGAAATAAAGCTTTAAACGTAAAACACAACACCGCATACTTACGATACTGTCAACATGTGAATCTTGGCAAGGCCTATAGATAAACACAGGTTAGGAAGATGAATGGTCACGTACTTGAGCACCACAGGTGCCATGTTGACTCCAGCAGCAAATTAAGGGCGCTATACCTATGCATACATATGCATGGGTGTTCGTTTGTATTCTACACCAGGAAAGTGCTTTCGTTGAAATAAAATCACATTTCATTTCAAGACGGTATTACTATTTAATGTGAATACTTGTATCATTTCATATTCATAGTTTATTTGTTCCTTTTGACAACGTGAAAAAGAGATTCAAGAGTCATAGAATGTGTTCAGAATAGCTTAGAATGAACCAAATTGCACCATTTTTTCAAAAATTCCTTGGGGGCATTCCTGCGGACCCCCCTAGCTGGGCGAGCTCCTGCGGTGCTCGCTTCGCTAGTTCCTCGAGACATGCAAACACGCCTTTGAATCCATTGTGTGCGTTTTTTCCCCAAACTGGCCATTACCTCCATTGTCTAATTTTCCCTCATAAGAAACCCTTATGATGCTTCATTACTTTATCACATTTACATGACATGCTAATATTAATACACGTTTATTTTATGATGTCTTTGGCCGTTTCTTTCTTCTCTTGATTGTAAACCACATACATTAGTGGCTAATATTATTGTTATAGTAACGAAACTACCAGGATTATGATGATTCGACCAGCCCTTCGTGTGTATATTGCTATCACTGTGCCATCTATTTTACCAGGCTGATACCGACAGAGAAGTACTATCCATTGAGATTTTACTGCATCAAGTCTCTGACGTTGGTTTCTAGCGCAACACGGTCATTCATCCCTATTCTACCTTTTATCATGGAAGTAAGTGCTAATCATTTCTGCCAAATTGCTATCCTTGGAAATTCATAGAAATGAGAGTTCATTGGAACAGTTTTATTAGATCAGTTAATTACTAAACCGATAAGTTCACATCTGTGTGGCAGAATTCTCCATCATTCTTCTCATTCTATTATTTAATTGAATAAACATGATTACTCTAATTAAATTTTCATTCTTTTTTTGTTCAGGTGTTTGAAATAACAGACTTCAATCGGAAGCATAGCTCAATGGGATTCAAACCCCTCAACTTCTCTACCACACTGAAACTGACAAGGCCACAACTCAGTGAAAAGGGTTTTAGGGTATGAAGTTTATTGCAAGTCCGAGTATGCTGAATTCCGTCATTTCTCCAAAAATGATAACTTAGTTTTCTGTGGAAGCATGAGGTCATTCAATTCGGGGTTTAGGGCAGGGGTTCTTAACCTGTGGTCCATGGACCCCTTTTGGGGTCCATGGATGGGCTTCGGGTGGTCCGTGAACCAGGTGCATGCAAAATTGTGTGTTTATGTGCTTGTGTGCATTTTTCTGGGGAGGGGTCTGTAGCTTTCACCAGATTCTCAAAGGGGTCCATGACTCAAAAAAGGTTAAGAACCACTGGTTTAGGGTATGCGTTAATTCTAATTTAGTTGAAGTTAATCTTTGATCATCTTTTTTTACTGTGCAATTAATGAGGGTTGTTTGTGAAAGCAAAACTGTTGTTGTTTGACAGGATGGAGTTGTGGACCAGGTGTACGAGTCACTGATGGAGTACCTGAACGTTGAAGCTCACACCATAGGATTTCCTGAACTAGTGCTGCCAGCAGTTATGCAGGTGACCCTGAATTTCATATCAATTCACATTATTTTCACGTTATTCAAGTTGACACCTCTCTGCCTCCACTTTCTTCCGGGTTTCTACGTGTCATGGCATTCCAGGAATGTCCTGGGAATTAAAAAAACACTGCAGGTTGGGAAAACGTGCAAAATGGTCTGTATAGTCCTGTAAAGTATTAGGAAAATAGGCTATTGTTACGTTTCATCCTGGAACGCACTGGAAGTTGAGCATATGTCTATTGCGTTTGCATTTTAACAATTGTGCCAATATTACCAAACAAGTTTAATGTGGTCACTAATTATTGAATACAAAAGATTGCATTTTACCTCAATTTTATGGTTCTAGAAAGTATAACTTGAAAGTCTTGGAAAAGTCATGGAAAAATGTTTTGCCTTTGGAATGTGAACCCTGCCCTTTAATTTATAAGCATAATAACAGCCGGAAATAAGCCCGTCGTTCATTCCTAGAATGGCATGCAGTGAGCTGTTTACACATATTTTATTTTTCTATTTTTCAGCTTAAATCTTTCCTAAAAGCATGCAAAGTTGCCAACTTCTGTAAGCCACTGAAGCAAATACTGGACAAGATAACTGAGAATTCCAACTACATCAATCAACGAAGAAAAAATGTCAGTTTCGCCGTCAATGATCTCAATGCAGTGGTGCGTATGTATATATTGTATCGTGGACATAGCTATGAATTAGTATGAGTAATGTGATTTCTGACCATTGGTTTTCTATCTACTAAAGCTTGGTTTATTTACAATATTGTTGCAATTTAGATAAGTTAAATGTGCATCATTTCTACATTTTTGAGCCATTACATTGGTTTTTAGTTCATCTGACGTAGTCAGATGCAGCTTGTAGAATCGCATGATCGTGCGTCTGTGCGTCCGTCTGTGCGTCAACAGTTGGGCACAAAGCTTAACTGCTCGACGTATAGTCACGATATTTGGGACGTCGGGGAAGGGAGATCGTGAAAAGGACTCGGGATGGCAAATTTGGTCAAGGTCAAAGGTCAAGATGTGTAAACGGAGGAGGAATATTTCCCCCTTAACTTAAGGTATAGGAGGAAATACGGAATTGCGGCACAATCTTAACGGTTCGACCTATGCTCTTAATATTCGGTGTATAGTGTGATGGGCAGGAAACCCATCAGTTTTTGACCCTCTAAGAGGAGGTTAAAAATAATGGATGTCCTTGAACTGGTCAATTATTCACAGTGTTGTATATTCATGGCATGATCCATAAATCTAGGAAACCCAATAAGCTGATAAGCAGAACGCGTACAGCACAGGCGTCACGGCTCAAAGCCGTTGGATCGAATCCCCATCTATTGTTTTATTTATTTACCTGTTTTCTGTATTTTTCTATCATTTAATCCATGTTAACTAAATTTTTTTCCAATTAACGCCAAATATTTACATGATTTATTTTCCACAATTAATTTTTTTCTTTAATACGGGTTAGGGTAGGTGCACAATATTCACAATAAAACAGGGAGTTTCAGGCACTGCGATTCTGTAACACACAATGGATATTGGAGAGTATGGCAGAATGGCAGGAAGGTTGCTGAAATGATGGTGTACCAACCTGCGTAATGCGTATCTGCATATCTCGGCCTAAAAAGGTGTTCATACGCACGCTTAAAATGTTACGCTTTATTAACCGTAGCAACAGACCTCAGATTGAAGGCCCAGACGCTCTGTTCGGCTCTTGTTTAATGTAACAGTATACACGTAATTTCATCAAGATATTGTAGGCATGTGTAAGCTAGTCAAGGTCGAGTGAGCGGTGTATATTATTACAAGCCAGGGCTATAAATGAATCCATCAGAGTCAACAGTGCTTTTATACACCATGGAAGATGTTGTCATAATAATTGTAGTCAGAATAAATTGTACAATACCATAGGCTCTAGGCTCAGGTGGCTACCTACTGAGAAAGGCAATTTCTGAAAATTTAAATGACAATCATTGCCCGCAACCAGTGCCATAATGAATTTTTATATGTTTTAGAATGTAAATATATAGATATGTATACAACGATATATAATGTACGCATTCATCGTGTGCATGGATGGTTACTGTATATCTTTATCTCTATGTTTTCTGTTTTTCTGACCGCTTCTTTATTGTTAGTTCCTCCAATTCCAATCATCTTAATTATGTAACTATTAAAATTTAATCTGTAATTCCGATTATCTTAAAGATGCAGCACCTAGACACCTTTAAAAAGAAATATAACCCATTCTTCCCCCGTTCCCAAAAACAGGCCCGGTGGGAAGTCAAACCGGCAGGAAGGAACCGCCGCTGTCAAAGTATACGAAAGACGTGGAGAAAGCTGAGAGATCGGCGAGTTGCAGCTTCATGAAATATTCTGGCAAAGAAGCAAGGTTTGTGGTCATTAATTCGATCACGAGCAATGTAAACGAGTGGGGAACGTCCATTGGCATACTGCATGGATTATCCAGAACACTGTCAATCTATTGTAGGCTGTAACTCAATGTGTCCTTTTTCAGAATTCGTGATCAATTGCACGATACGAATAAATTCGTAATATGAAGCATAAGAAAGAGAATGTGGCACAAGAAAGAGCTTCAGTGGGTACTGTTTCCCAGTGAGAGTGAAAGTGATTGGTGAAAGAAAATCAGAAGAAGGAACTCCTAAAGAGCGTGGGCAGAGAAATATCTTTGCATGGAAAAAAGCACTGTACCGACCTGGGGGCCATTGTCAGAACATCGTTAAAGTTGAGTAAATGTTAATGGCCTAAGATAACACTTACGACTAATTTTAATGTTGAGCGAGAGGAGCGTTGACAGAATACACATCGCACAAGTTCGCAACTATTAGAAAAGCTTACGATAACAGAAACTTTCATCACAAGCTGCGTGATTGGATGAGAATCGATCACAAATAAATTCAAATTCTAGACATTTCATTGGCTACCATCACAGTAATGTAATTATGCATATATTTGATGGCTTAACCACATATAAAATAATATTTGATGAAAAACGACGTGGTCCAGTGAATTATTTCTGCACAACCAAGATACAAATTCTCACACTGTAACACGACGCGAGCAGTCGTGCAATTAAAAACAAGAGAACAAATGCCATACTGCCATTTGTAAATGGTTTTGTTTGTTGGTCTTTGATCGGCACTTAGATAATTAATGATTTATCCGACATGTTTGTCCAACGAAAAAACAGCATCTTTATCCTCATTATTATAAAATATAAATTCAGTATAATTGTAATCGTATGTATACGTGTTTATTTCCATCTGTAAATTAAAGTTTCACGAGAGGGTCTGGGGTTTCTCGTAATGTTAAGAGGATATTTTTCGAGACGATTTTCTATTCTCGGTAAATTTGCGATGTTTCTGTCACAGTCTTTAAGAGTGGAAGTTAATGTTAAGACTAATGTTAAGAACTAATTTTGTTTCAGACAACGGGCCCCTGGTTACGGTTGCCGTGCACATTTCCATATGGTGGTGTGTGCCCATTGTGTAATCTAAAGTGTAGTAATTGCAGTACACTTATGATATACTTTTGTTATAGGAGAACACTATTAATTCATGACTAGCGCAGGGTGGAATCTCATAATAAGAGGTTGAGAGATAAAACCTAACTAAAGTAACCATCTTGTTCACAAAGCCAGCAGCACACGTTTTGATGCATCGACGCTGAAATAATAACTATCATCCTCCGTTAAGTTTATCCAACGAAGGAACGATTTAAAAAGCGCCAGAAGGTCGACGCACTAAC